TAATTCCTTGCAACAGTTTTTAAGTTTATTTGTCTGTTCCGAGCCATTTCTCAGAAGTGCTTCATCCAATCTCATTCAAACTTAACACAAACACCTACCTGTAGTGTGATGAGTCGCATGATATGTGTCGATTTTCATTACCTTTCTGATTTGATCAAATAAAACTCGCAGGTTGGTTCTTATATTTGTTAAATATGATACTAATACATGTCCGGAAGCATTTCTTGTAACCTGTCGACTTCATTCAAACTGTGTAATATGATCATGCATACATGTATTTGGTTTGCACACACATACTGTGTATTAGTAGGTTATACTGTACCTTGTAATATTTTGCGATTTGTCAGAACCACCATTTGTCTCAAATTCTAAAATCACAGTCTGTATACACGAACTGAACTATTTCTCGAAGATGAATACGTGTATACAATAAATATAATAATTAAATAGCTCTACATACTATCATATTATCTGTTTTAGAAACTAAGAATTCTATACACTAAATGTTTAGCAGCATTGCAACAATTGCCACAGACCAGTGTATACAGGCAAAACACAGAACAGATTGTCAATGACAGGTTTAGTCTTGTTAAGTCGGTAAGTATCTGGTCTTACTCTTCATAAAATATTTGTGCTACAATTTGATGAAAAGTTAATTCCGGTATATCTGTGTGTCCCATTCATTATCAGAAGCTGCTTTGCACACTATACTGTAATGTAATGTACTACCAGATGTTTTACTGAAAATAAATTTATGCAATCTTCTACTAAATTATGTGTACTTGTATCATTCCTAGACAAATGATATCGAACAGCTGGAGAAAAAAATTGGTATGGCCAGATAGAAGAAGTAATTCTGGAAGTGAGTTGATACTGCTCTTGTTTTATTTATTTATTATTACAAAAGCATGGTGTTTTGAATTGAATCATTTCAGATCTCTAGATCAACCCAGAGATTCTATACAGGATTCATGAATCAATATAGCCATATCGATATGAGGCCTGTGTCTAAATGTTACTGATTGCTTAGATTGTATCTGACGCATTTTATTTCTCTGCACAGGCCCATGCTGAACTCAGTTTAGCTCGTAAGATGGCCGACTGGAGATCATGGGAACCACTGGTTGGTGAAGCTCCACCTGGTCAGTGGGAATGGCCATGAACATCATCTTTAGTTCACAGAATATTGATCTGAAATATTAGATATATTTAAAATGTGTTTGAATTCTAAAATGTACTTGCAGTGAATGGTTGATCAACTGAATATAATAATGGCACATGTAGTACTGTAGAGTTGCTGGAAAATATGCTCCCGTAATTGTTAATGGTTGAATCTTCTTACCATACATTGTAGGCAAAATTTAAAAGTTTCTACTGCTTTTATTAGGTTGATGGTGTTAATAGTATTATGTGATGGTGTTCCCTATATGAATTTTAAGTACATATTAAGCATGATGTGTCAACCATTGACGTTTTCTTTGCTTGGGAGTGAAAAAGAATAGCTGCAAATAAAACATTGTGTCAGTTTGTTTGAAATTGAGTTTCCCTAGTCTTTGTGTTCTGTGATGTTTGCAAAAAGCCATAAATAACATAAACCAGCAAGAAAAGATGGCCACCAGTTTTCAGTATGCAAATGACACTCAAACATGAAACATCGCCTTACGGTGCTTCACAAAATTACTCTTTTTGACAATCTTAATGCCTGTGGTGCGTTATTTTCATGTCGCACAACAAACATGGGTATATTCACGATACAATTTTGATGTTAATTTACAAGTTTGGAGCAATGTCAGTGTGTTTTTTGCGTAAATGCGACTGGAAAGCATGATTCAAACAGTCGTTTAGACTGCTCAAAATGATCGTCAGTCATGGCTTTATGCAAATGCCAGGTATTAATCCTGAGTTGTTTGTTCAATCTCTAGGTATGTTTTTGACTCCTGTGTGCAAAGCACACAATCATGAATGGGAGTCTTTGCATTTAGCCTGTGTTTGTGTGTTGGTCTGTTCCACTGATATCTCAAAATTGCATGTTGGTTTTTGATGAGATTTGATTAGGTTTTGGTTAAAGTCACTGTGTATTCATTACCTAATTTGCATAATTAGTTAATTTTTTGCTTTTCCATGACTGTACCACTCACTAGGTTTTGATGAAACATGGTACATAGATGCTTGATAGTTTTTGGTAAAAATCTGTGCATATTAATTACCTAATTCACATGATTACCAATAGTCAATTTTCTACTGATATCTCAAGTGCTCATCATCAATAATTCAATGAAACTTGGTACACATATGTCATAGGACACTGCATGAACCTGATAGTTTTTAGGGTAATATCAGTACATATTAATTACCTAATTTGCATAATTAATTGATTTTCAGCTTTTGATATTTCAAGTAGTAACCATCGCATTTCAATGAAACTTGGTACATCAATAATCTAAAGAACTGATCATACATTTGAATAAAAATGCTCTAGGAAAATAGACAGCCTGATTTGTGTTATAATCTGTTCATATTCCCTAATTAGCGTAATAATTCATAATTGTAACTTGGTACATAGATGGGCTGTTACATTGCGCAAACCTTATTAGTTTTACACTCAAATCTGTTAATAACTCGATTTTCCTAATTAGTTTTCAGCTTTTCCATTAATATCTCAAGTACAAGTAATTTTGAATTAATTTTTAGGGTGTCTACAATACTTTTAAGCACACGGAAGTTCTTTCTAGGCCACAACGTCATCAGCCCTAAAAGTTGTGACATGCACTGGATACATCTTTCGCCAGTCCATACATTTTGCTGTTCTAGCATCGTCCAGTACTTTTTGTCTAAACAACGCCTAATAGAAGCGTTGTTGTCCCATTGACCCTGGCTGTTTTCCAACAAATCTTTCCTGTTTGTGGTTCCGCGAGTTTGAGTAAGACAAAAACCCACACACAATAGCGTAATTCATGTTAGTTTACAGAATTAACACCTTCGGTTGAAATGATAACAGCTGTGCACCAAGTAAATAACTGGGCGGACCATTCAAATTACATTTTCCATGATGCAATCCCTGGGATTGCGGAGCCGTGCTTCAAGCAGTTCTCGTATCTTGATAGCATGGACAGTTGGTGTGTACATCCACAATATATTGCCTCGGGATGTGATATTCGTATTAATTTGTGTACGATGTCACGTTTTATTGGATATTGGGTGCCGTGCCTATGTGTGAGCAGCTGTGGAACATCGATCAAAGTACTGGTGCAAACAGCACAAACTCTTTATAATTCTGAACAACTATGTGACAATGCAGGGGTAGTCTTGTTGCACTGTTCAGGAGATTTTCAAGAACTAGCCCAAAGAGCTTTCGGCCATTGTTTTCAGCGATGATGGTTGCAAGGCAGTGAAAATGTCTACCCAAGAATATGAAATTATTAAAAGATGACCACCTGTCACTCGTGTGAGATTGAGTAGTGGGAAAAAAAACTTCCCACACACATATCATACATATGCACATGCATTTATTCCATTAATCCAATTCAAGATGACTGAATGGCGGCCGATTTAGTACAATTCCAAAACATGATTTTTCGGTCGTGCATGCACAATATTTCATTCAACCTAGTATGTCTATTGAACGTAATGGGTTCTTGATGCACGTCTTCTTTTTTTTCCCCACATCAGCCATATTGTTTTAACAAATACACTTCCAGAGTAGTGTCTCTGACATGCTTTCACTGATAACATCCAAACATTACATTTATTCATTCATTTGTTTCATTATCCAATTCAAGATGAGGGACTCCATTTTAGTTTGCTAGTTGGTTTCTGCCATTCCTGAACTGGATCTTGGCTCCACATGTCTGTCACATGAGTGTAAATAATATATGGCACTATTGTTGAATCACTAAAAATTGGACGGGCTCTTGTTATTGATCATGACGTATGAAGATTTGTATGAAGATACAATATAAACATGGATGTGTATATCCTGCCTAATCGTTGGACTCAATACAGTAGCGATTTGGACAGCAGCCAACATAGCAACATGGTTTTTCTCATCAACCCTCAAGGAATTCAAATCACAATCGATGCAAACCTTACAGCAAGAAAAAGTGCCATACTCACAGCTACCGGTACAGGAATAAGACACTTGCGAAGATCATCTAAACAGAGATAGCGATGACATGATACATATGTGCGTAGATACCCTTGGAGGTTTATGGGGCTGGTGTGATAGAGTTCCAACCAGGTAATCAGCCTCAGATTTAGAAGCAGAAGCCATTTTTGTATGTTGCGATTCTTTTCCAATGACAAGACACTTCACAAGAAGTAAGCTCTTTTTATAATACTTTAGTTCACAGTATTTGTCTCCAAATGAAATTCAAAACTGGAGACACTGCTACAGCAAACAGTATGACTTGGCTTCAAAGTGCATTACAGAAAGTGCAAGATAGAAGACTAGAGTCCAAATTTCTGTTCTGTCCAGCGAGGAAAAATATACATTAAACTATATTCAAATAGGGTAATTGACAGTGAATAATAAACAAAACTGAATAAAGCAGTTTTCATATAATGATTGTCCCAGGCCTGTCTGCATCTGTGCCAACTTTTGCTGTAAATAATTCCTTCTTTAAAATAATCTACTGATTGCTTTGATACTATGGTACATGTAAGTACTATGTAAGTTGCATAATAATAATCCATCTCGGGTACTAATTGTCACATTTCACTGAAACTTGGAACATGCTCTTGGACAATGTGAAAATCTGATTGTTGGGTTAGACGGCACATTAATGATCTTCTTTCCTTGTTATGTATTTTGAGTTATTTATTCTAATAACTTTCACTATATACTACTGATTTATTTTTTTATTAATACATTTGTATAATAAAAATTATTATACATTGTGCCGTAATTTTGTGGTATTGCACTGGGTATTTTCATCCTTCCATATTAGGAAACTCAAAATCCAATTATGGAACTATTTTGTGAGTAAGCGTTCTCCCCCACACAAAGAAGTTTGCTAAATCTGTTCTAAACATTTTGGATTTTGGCATTCTCATAATGTATTCCTGGGAGGAAAAGATGTATATAAGGTTATTACAAGGATACTGCAAAGTATGTACTTGGACAGTACGTGGTCGCATCAACCTCCACTGCGCGTCTGTCGATACTACCACTGTACGCTGTCTTCGTGCAAAAGGCAAATGACAAGATTAGTATAGGGTTGAAAAGATGCATATTGATTACCTAATTTGCATAAATTAGGCAATTTAAATAAAATGGTGCTCTGGAATAAACCAGACTGCAAATAAACCATTGTTGTACTATCAAATTTATTTCTTTTTTTTTTAATGACGGTTGTCTGTGAGTGTTATAAACTTCAAAAATCTCAATGTGTGTTCATGCAAAATACCGACAATCTTTGCTGCCAGTGCCAGCACAGCATAAACAACATAATTGCTTTGCCCAAATCCCAACATGCAATTTGATTATTCTGTTTTTTACCATAATTTCCTTAGTTGAAATGTATTAGTCTGAGTCTGTCCAATTTATAGGCAGTGACACCACCTGGGTTTCCACATAAGCCAATCAGAATGTGATCTTGCTAGCAGCTGTGTCACGTAGGCAACTCAGAGATCATAAACATCCTTTGTTATTCAAATAACAGCACACCTGGTAGATTCCAATTCTTCTCCTTCCAAAGTTGTAAACACCCTTTGTTATGTAAATTACAAGCACACCTGGTAGAACCCACTGTCCTTCCAGAGTTGAAACAAGTATGACCTGTCAATCACCTTTATGACAGTTATCACAATACACACCGTTTCTTCCCATGATTCCATGCACACTTCCATTTGCAGGGTTTGAGGTAATATGACAAAACATGAAATA